TGCTGGGGCTGCTGTATCCGAACCCCACCCAGCCCCTCCCACTCCCCCCAGCGCCCCCTGCTGGGGCTGGAGTATCCGGAACCCCACCCAGCCCCTTCCAGTGCTCCTGTCCCTGCAGCACCCCCTGCTGGGAGAGGCCAGGGCTGGCACAGCCAGGAGCTCCCCCACAGGGCTGTGCCCGGTCCCCACTAACCACTTCCTCCCTTGCTCCCAGCCTCCTTCCTGGAGTCGCGCAGTTGGCGGGGCTTGGAGCAGCAGCTGGGCCAGACGCCCGTGACAAAGGCCGTGCCGGGCCGGAGGGGGATCGCGATCGCCTACGAGGATGAGGCTTCTGGGTGACCCTGACCCTGCGGGACGCCACTGTTGGGAGACGGGCCCTGCGGGGCTCCAGCCTCCTGCCGTGGGTCGCCCTGGGCCCGTCTGCAGCTCAGTCCTGGGGCCGACGCGAACAGCTGCCCTGTCCTGCTGGGGCCTGGCATCGGAGCCGGACTCGAGTGCAGGATCCCGGGGGCTGCCGGCGCGGCTCTGCCGGGGACGCTGGCCTGGGTTCAGCTGTGCGTTAGTGAACCCCATGGCATCCGGGGTGCGACTCCGCGGGGCGGGCGGACACACAGCCACACCCACCCACCGCAGCCCACTCTGCCACCACCCCACATGGCCGCCGTGGACAGGGGCCACCTGGGAGTGCCCCCCCCCCCGCTACCCCAGCTGGCTGCTCCCAGGGGCAAGGGCTGGGCTGGGCAGGGCCTGGCCTCCGCCCTGAGCCTGTGTCCCCCCCCCGCCCGCCCAGCGCCGGGGGGTGGGTAGAGGAGCTCAACGTCCCCCCGGCTCCCCTTGCAGCGCTCGCCCAGCACTAGCCTGAAGACAGCGAGGCAAAGGCAGCCGTGTCAGGGCAGGAGGCAGTGCCCGGGCAGTTGGGCTAACAGGGCCTTCAGGTAATCTATTCACCCCTTCCTGCCTTGGGGGAAACGCGTCTGCCCCATTCCGTGGAGATGGGCTGTGTAGGGTTGCCAGCCCTCCAAGAGGGCCCTGGAGTCACCAAGAATTAAAGCTTAATTTTGTGAACGCTCGTGTCATGTGATGAAACCTCCAGGGACACGTCCCCCACACGGGTAGCCACAGCTCTGCTCGGGGGCTGTTCCCAGGCCTGGGCGGGACGGGTCGCACTCGCTGATCACAATGGGCCCTGCCAGCCGCTGGTGCTGCGCATTACAGGGCGTGGCACCAGCAGTGCTGGCCCTAACATAAGAGCAGCCAGAGTGGGTCAGACCAAAGGTCTATCTAGCCCAGTCTCTTGTCTGCTGACAGTGGCCAATGCCAGGTGCACAGAGGGAATGAACAGAACAAGTAAGCCTCAAGTGATCCATCCCGTCGCCCATTCCCAGCTTCTGGCAAACTGAGCCGAGGGCCACCATCCCTGCCCATCCTGGCTAACAGCCATTGATGGACCGATCCTCCATGAATTTATCTAGTTCTTTTTTCAACCCTGTTATAGTCTTGGCTTTCACCACATCCTCTGGCAAGGAGTTCCACAAGTTCACTGTGCGTTGTGTGAAGAAATACTTCCTTTTGTTTGTGTTAAAGCTGCTGTCTGGAATGAATGAGCCACTCAAACATGAACTCTCACCCTGTGTGATGGGGTGGGGATTTTTTCCTTTGGGATGACTACTGTGTGTGCCTCAGTTTCCCCTAAGAGCTGCATGGTTATCTAGGGCTGGGGAGATTGTTTACTCTGCAGAGAGCCGGGTGTGACTAATGCCTAGCCGGGGCCTGGCCCCATGCCATGGAGAGTCTCCAAAGACAACTGCCCAGACGCTGGGTACCTACCAACCACCGACCAGGGGCTGCCCTCTCTGGAAGGCAGCCCTTTGCAACTAGAGAGCAGAGGCCTGAGGAGGAGGCCAGGTGACAGTGGTTCCCTGGGAACAAGAACACAAGCCAAACGGGGTCAGTGGGGCTGCTGGCGTCAGGGACGCTCCTGGCTGGGCTGCAGAAGGGCTCAGAGGGGAGCGCTGGGCTCCAGGCTGACCCCGAGGGACATGCTGTGAATTGCTGCTAACCAAGGACGCTGTGTCCAGAAACTCGCCTGCCCTTACCCCGCCGATGGAGTCACCCAGCATCAGGGAATTGGGGGCTCCCTGCGGGGTGCAAGCTAGGGGGACTTGCTGCGGGCAGCTCCTGGCCCTGCTGGAGGGGCCGAGGTTGGTCCCAGGAGGGGGGGAAGCCAAGGGGCTGGCGCCAGCGAGCGTGTGACCCGGAGGGGCAGACACAAGCTGTGGGTCCCCCAGGCAGCGCCCTCCCAGGAGCCAGCTAAAGTGTCACGCCTGCACTGCAATGCCAGCACTGCGCAGACGAACCAGAGGTGTGAGCCTGCCAGGCCCGGGCCCTCTGCGCCAGCCGCCACCTGGGACTGGGTCAAACTCAAACATCCCAGGGCAGGACGCCGCAGCACCGGGCCCCGAGGCAGACAGGGGGTGGGTAGGTGAGTGAGTGAGAGAGAGACTAGAGGGAAGAGCAGGGGCTGGGGGACCCAGTACTGGAGCAGCCCCCAGCTGGGCTAGGAGGGGCAGGACTCCACCTCTTCCTAAGGTCAGCTGGTGCTTGCCCCCCCACAACCAGCCAGGCTCGAGTTCCTCCCCCTACTAGCCTGGAGAGGGGTGTGTGCTGCTCTGCCCCCCCCCAATGCCTCTGGGCCCCCTGCTCCGCACCTCTATCCGTGGCCGCTAAGGGAGGGGGACGTGGCACCTGGGAGGGCAGGGCAAGAACGTGTCTTGTGCAAACGACTCAGGCTGGCTGCTCGTTCCATCAGCCCTGCAGCAAGCGCCAGTGGCTGGCCAGCAGCCACCTCTGGGGTGGATCATGGCAGCTGGAGGCCCCATGGTGGGATTGGGCCAAGACAGGGGCTGCAATGGCCCAGGGGGCTGTGACCTCCCTCCCATGATCTGCAGCACAGAGCTGCCCAGCACCATGCTGGGGCCTTGGGGTCAGCGCCGACTCCGCAGGGAGCGGGGCCAGCACAGCTCTCCCCCCCCCCCCCCCGAGGCTGACAGGACGTAGCGTGTTTTCCCCAGCCCGGCCAGCAACCTGGGGCTGGTCCCACCCTCCGCCTGCAGCCCCACCGCAACCGGGTGCAGGAAGCAGCAGGCACATCAGCCATCCACCCCCTGCCCTGCCCTGCCCTGCGGTGACTGGGAGCCGACCCCCAGCAGGGCTATGGTGGCAGCAGCAAGCCGGGGGCTCGGCTCAGTAGCCACAGGGCCCAGGCCCCTCTTGTCCCACGTTCAGGCTGGGGCCTGGGAGGGGCTGCCCTGGCTGTTTCTGCCCCACTCCGGGCCAGGCTGGGGCCCTGCCTGGCAGAGCTGGGTCTGAACACGCCCAGCCAGCTGGGCGCTGGGCGCCCTGCCTCACCAGACGGCAGTCAGGACTCATCCTGCTGCACTCCACTGAGCCCCTGCTAAGGACAAGGCATGAGGCTGCCCCACACCTGGGGGGCAGTGGGGAGATGCCCAAGGCAAGGTCCAGCCTTTGGCCCATATCAAAGGAAACCAAGGAGGCTGATGCAACAGCATCACGCAGGGGCAGGCTGAGCCACTGCAGGGGAAATTAAACCTAGCCCACAAGGCCCTGGGCCTGGCTCTGTGCCATGGGGCAGCCTCGCTCCTGCCCCTTGAGAAACCCACCTGGCCTCCCTGTACCTGTGGCTGGAGAGAAGCCAGCGAGGCTGGGATGAACCAGGCAGGGTCCCATGTGACAGCGCAAACTGGCAGCATGTGGGCGCTGTTCCATGTGACTGGCGCACCCCTGAACTGAGCATCCCCAAACCCCGCTAAGCACATGAAGGGCTGGGCCCGGCTGCCCAGCTGAGGTTCAGGCTTGGGGGCGAGGCCGGGGGCGTGGCCAGCTGGATTGCATTCTCACAGGCCGCGTGAGCCTGCAGCCCTGGTGAGGACGTGCCCTGCCCACCCCAGGGCACCCTACAGCGACCTCTCCCAGGGCTGGGCGCCCGAAGGAGCAGCAGCCCGCACCCCTGCTTAGAGTGGCCGCAGGGCAGGTGTGAAGAGAAGGGCGCTCTGGGAACTGGGCGTCGCTGGTCCCTAGACACACTCCAGCCCTGGCTGCCTACGCTTGGGGGGGCACAGGAGATGCTCCAGCAGCCCTGGCCCCTGTGAGAGCCGCCCCCCACCCGACCAGACGGACAAGTCTTCGCCTGCTCTGCTGCAGGCCGCTTCGGCTAGTGCTGAGTTCCAGTCAGATGCAGCGGCTGCTTGCTCCGTTCTCAGGCCAGTACCTGCAGCACAGCCACCAGCTCTCCCGGCCCTGGCCTGGTGCTTTTCCTCGGGCAGCTAGACAGGGGTCCCAAGCCACCAGCTCTAGGGCGAAGCCCCTCCATGCAGCCGCACCAGCCTCATGCTGATTCCCCTGGCTCCCAGACCCCAGAGCCTGTTCAGAGAGCGGCAGGGTAAGGAGCAACAAGCCAAACCCCTGGCAGCACCTGCGTGCTGAGCTCCTCTCCCCTGGGGTTGCAGCCTGAGCACCCCCTGCTGGCCATGCGCAGAGGGATACCAAGGCCATGCGCTCCAGTGGAGAGGGGAGGCACTGGGGGGTGCCCCTGGCGCTAGGCTGAGCAGGACCCAGGCAGAAGAAACACAGCCACAGCGTAGAAATATCCTGACTATAATTAGGTGCAGGGCTCCCCCAAACCACACACACACGGCCAGAGGGCAAGGGCCCTGGTGCGGGACAGTCACCACCATGGACACGCTAGGGGCAGCCTCCTGCAGGGACTCCAGCCCACGGCTGCCCACGGGAAGGGCTGGCAGCCCAGCCACAGGTCCGTCTGTCCAGCCTCCCCGCCATGTCCTGCAGCCGCTGCCGCCCGCTCCCAGCCCCTGCCGGGGGAGCATGCTGGGGAATGGAGGATGGTAGCTGAGCAGCGTCCGGAGCGGGTTACTTCGAGGTGGAGGGTTATTCTACGAGCCGGATTGCAGCGGGGCAGGGAGGACGGGGGCTGCCGTGCGGGGAAGAGCTGGCCCGGGCGATCCGGCTGCTCTCCCGGTGGGGCTCTCAGTAGTCGGCCGTGTACTCTGTGCCATGCAGCCCCCGGCACAGCAGGGTGAACTCCTTCACCATCTCCTTCACACGCCGCTTGTTCAC